CAATGTCATGATTGGAGATTCTACCTATGTGATCCAGAACAAATCTAAATACCAGAGGTCTCTTCCTTAATAAAACAATGTTGAAGGTTGAGTCAGTCTTTGAAAGTGCATCGAGCGTATATGGTCTCCTAACTTGCTCTTGGGTTCAGGGGCCAAATCAATTGACAAAAATGTACTGGGTGCCAACTTAGTATAAGTCATAATTTTCTACCCTCAAAAAAACACGCATGCTAATAATTAGGGAGAATAATACACACATGCATAAAAAATTAAATAATATTGTATTTAAAAATTCAAGAGAAGTGTGTGATTCAGGCAAGGTGTGTGATTCAGGCAAGGTTGTAAGTTTGGAAGTAAGAAGCGGGTGCAGATTCTGGGGTCAGGCTATGCCTGGCATGGTCCAAGTCACTGACGATGGAAGACCAGCCTGCATGACTTCCCAGTATGACCCCCTATTTTGTCTCTTAGATGTGGCTCTTTAAATGCTCCTTGATTCTTGTTTCTAATACATCACTGTGGGCTTGGGGCAAAGAGGCTTTTTCAGCCCTGCTCAGACGTATTTAAATAACTGGTCAGTTCAGTGGCATGTGGGAAGAGGTCACTTTCTGTGGTGTCCCAAGGCTCATTTGGTTCCTTGAGAAAGGAGCAGGACCTGTTGGTGGTCCTGCCTTGGTTTGTCTGAGGATTAAGCAAGGTGATGAAATGTGCTGCCTGGCAGATGGCATAGACCCTCAATAAATGTGAGTTGAATGCCCTCTGTAGAAGGGACATTAACCTATGAAAGATAATAATGTTGAAGCTAAGAAACAGTCCAAGAGAACAACTCAGGGGCAGGTTTCTAGCCTTCATGCTTCCCCCGAGGTGGCTCAAGCCTACAAAAAGCTGTGATAGTGTTGTTAGGATGTGAGCCATGGATGTGGTGGTGGCTCAGACTGAGCCACAGGAACGCGGGAGCAGAGGACAAAGGGTGGCTGCCTTCCCTCCCTGCTTTCACCTGGTCTGTTCAGGGAAAGA